TTCTTGGAGGGAAGACTCTTTGCTCCTCAAAAATCCCATGCTAGGATTTGCACTTATCTGCTCAGAGGATAGAAGCTGACCCTCTGACCTGTGCTTCCAATCAGTGCTAGCAAACACTCTTCAAGCCAGCACAGCAGGATGGTGATGAGCAAAATAGTGAGGAGGAATTCTATTTTATATATTTTGCATGTTATATATACATAATTACATGGTTATATATATGGTATTATATCTGTGCATGAGTAGATACGTTTGCCAATATCAAATAATGATTAAATTATAATGATCAAATTGCAGAAAATCACAGCCTGCCCCCAGATAGTTCATGAACTGAAAAAGCCTAGAGTCATCAGACGAGTGTGTTGGCTTTGCATTTTTCCTACTCTGTGTTTCTGGTATGAACTGCTTAGTAGTATCTGTGTGCACTCCTCTACCTACCTGGCAAAATTAGACTAAACTATGTGTCATAGGCATCATGCTGTGAAACAGTAATGGTGATTCTCCTGCAGCACATACCTTTTTAGCAGAACAGATGTCTCAGCTGTTATCGGATTAAGAGTATCTGGAATCTGCTCCCAGTTCCTCTCTGAAGATCAGACTGAGTACAGCAGGGTGACTGAGTACAGCAGTGTGAGTAGGGTGGGCCAAGGGCTTGCTTCTGGTGGAGTTTAACATCTTTTGTGATTCCACATGTGTCAGGATGAGCTATTTCTCACAGGAAGAGAATGTGGTGAATTGTGTATGCTTGGCACTGAAAGTGGTGAAGTGGGGAATTTAAACTTCTTAGCTGTGTGTGATAGACCCAGGCAGTGAACAGCTGGTGAAGAGACTCTCTTAGCTCTAGGGGTGACAGCTTGTGCATTTGGGGGTGCAATAGGATTAGATAGCAATTTCCATTCATTTCAAAATAACCTTGCCCAAGAGGGTCAGGAATCTGGAGATGTAGGAGCCCATAGCTCACTATTTGTTACATTATGTTCTAATTAAAAAAAAAAAAAAAAGCTTTTGGAATCAAATTTGACCTGAATATAACTCCATTGGCTTCTGCGTTCTTACACTAGGGATTAATTTGGCCCTTTCTACTTTTATGTAATGAGCTGATTGCCACAGTATCTTATCCTTGTTACACAATCACCCTTGTCTGGCTGTGTCCCTGGAGCACTGTGTGTGTGTGTTTCTAGATCTAGGGTCTCACCTTGACTGGCTGTGTTCAGTCCTAGAGCCTCACCCCAACTTACACTGATGCAGTGTGTGTGTGTATATGTTCATTCCAAGTTCAAACACTGTGTACAAACATACACATGTGGAGACTGAAGGGCTGTATCCCTGCAGTGTTTGCTTCTGCAGGGGGTAGGGAGAGAGGGGATGTTACTGTATCAGAGATCTCATTTAAACAAGAAGGAGCATAGGAAAATACATTCTTTATTATTATTCTGTAACAACAAGCCAGAAATATAATATACCTTTAAAAATTGTCTGTCTCATGCCAAAGAAACCTCCATTCAATCGTTTTAGAAAATCTAGTTGCTCTCCCTCAAACAGTAACAAAAAGAAAAAGGAATTACAAGTGCCATCTGTTCCCTGCCTGTACCACAGGTGGGTGTGTGGGGAAGGGGAGCAGGGGGAGCAGAAGGGGTGTTTCTGGTGGCCCTGCCAGCCCCCATGCCACCCTGGTATGTGTTGGACCTTCCTGCCCCAGAAGACCATTCCCTGAGGGCAGGCACTTGCACGTGGCATTGGTACACCTGCCTGCAGCAAAGGGTGCACTCAGGGGGCTTTCCCCCACGCCTAGACGTGCCTGCAGGGAGAAGAGCCCCTCCTGTCCTCACACACCAGAGGAACCCATGGACTGGGCCTACAAGGAGCACTGGGTCTCGTTCTGTATCCAGCATTCCACAGCAGAGCTTTGTTTCTGACCACACTGGGTGTCATGTTCCCTAAGTGCCTGTGGACAGTGCAGCAGCTCAGTCACACTGGGACAGCCTGTTTTCCAGGTGTGCTAGGGAACAGAGGAAGAGCCTGTTTGCAAACAGTGGCATGAAGAGGGCATTTCCCAGTGAACCCTGTACTCTGCTCTGCACCTAAGAGGACAGGTCCTCGTCCTTCCGAGCACAATATTTGCTTTCCAGTGGGACTCCCCATAGCAGACAGCCTTCATGTTTCTCAGCAACACTCAGTTCTCCCCTTTCTTGCCTTCTCCCTTCCTGGTTGAGTTTCTAAACATAGCAGTCCCTTGTCTAGGGTTGAGATAAATCCAGACATTGTGTCGTATAAATTAAAACAAAAAAGGAAAGGATGGGCAAGGTCATCATCAGCCCCACAACACAGGTTATAGAAAATATTATTAGCAACAAAGTAAAATTGGTCAGGGCAGGAGGAAGTCACAGGGAAGGTGCAGGGAAAGGAAGATTTCACCCCTTCAAGTCCTCATTGTCCCCTACCTTCCTCCCAATCATTTTACCTCTAGTCTGTACCCTTAAAAACAATCTCTCTCTCAACCTCTTGCTCAGTCACACACACACACACACACACACACACACACACACACACATATAGATCCCATTTGTTTTGTGCAATATTTCACCATTATTTGATGCAAGTAAAATATAGATCTATAAATGTACCACTCTGACTCAAGTCCCATTTCAAGTATGATTGCGGAGTCCAGTATGGTAAAGGGAGAAGTTCCCCTGAGAGGGAGGTTAGGGAGAGGTTTGGATCCAGCAGGCAGAGTTTAGTCCTGACTTGCTGGGAATGTGGAGCAGCAGTAACACACATACAGAGTCTGCAGTGCACCAGTTCTGCCCTTCAGAGCGGGTTACAGTTGGAGCCGATGGGATGGTTGGAGTGGCTATACAGTGCGTGGGGGAAGAGTCCTTCCTCCTCACACCTTACCAGCCCCTCCTCCTCTTCCTCTTCCCCACAAGCAGTGTGTTGGGAGCGTGGGTACAATGTGTGCACACACTTGTGGGTGGACTGCTTCTCTCAGTTCTTCCTCCATGGCAGCCTGGTCTTCTGATCCGTGAAGAACATCCTCCCCTCTCCCATGCATCCCTGTGTCCAAGGGAAGTCATGCTAAAACAGTCCAGAGTATCCTGTCTCTTTGCCTCTTGTGGCCCTGGGTAGACCAGGTGGTATTTTGCTACTCCAGGCTTTGATCAAAGATGTTGTATGTCCGTGGGTCAGTACAACCACCCATCTGGGACCAGAAGGGGGTGAGGAGCTAGTGTGCATCACTTCCACAGGGATCCAGTCACAGCAAGCAGGAGGGCTGTGAGATGTCCAGAGGCATCGGGATTCAGCTGGAGCTGGAGGAAGGAAAAGGTGATGTGCCCTGGCAGGGTCCACCTTCAGTGTGTGCTGGGCTCTGAGCACAGGTTGCTAGCGAAACACCCTGCAAAGCTGGGCTGGCTGCCAGCTTGTTTCCTGATGGCACTGTGGATGCAAGACCTCCGGTGTCATCTTCCTCGCCCAGGAATACCCACTGTGACGGGTTAGAGCAGGTTACCATGGCAATGTGTGCTCTCCCCTGGAGACAACATTTTATCCCGCTTGCAGTGATACAAAATGAGTCCTTATGTTGAGTTCCTTTCAATTTTTTTCCCCTCATTTTTTTCCCATCAGGGCAGAATGAACTAAGACTAATAGGAGGTGCTGCAGTCTTAGGGCTTTAAACTCTGAGTGGGGGAAGTCACCCTGTGTGACAGTGGCAGTGCGCACAGTTGTGTGTGGGCACAGTCATGTGGAGCTGTGGATGGCATTGAACACACCAGTGATGGTGAAGGGAATGTATGTGGGCCGTGCTGCCTTCCGTGCCAGACCCTTCCTGGGCTCTCCCACGTGTGCCACTCTGTGGTCCAGGTTTCATTGTTCACCTCAAAACCCTCCAGAATTGTGCCAACTCTCTTAGGTCACCCCAGCTGCATCACCCTACTCCACACACCACGCTGGCCCCTCTGCCAGCCACTCCAGCTCTTGGGTTGTGTGACTTCTTCCTCTGACACCTTTCCCTAGGTTCATGCTACTCCTCAACTTGATTTATGCTACCCAGGCTGGTAAGTCACCTCCTCCCCTAGTCTTTCCTGATGACCCACTTCTGCTCTGCCAGTCAAACATTTCTAAATGGAGGCTTCATATCTTTACACTCTCCATTTATCAGAGGAAACATAAAATAGATAAGAACACACCTTTTTTTTTATGCTGTGTGCTTACTGCCACAGAGTCATACTGTAATCCCAATAACTTTGCCTCTCTCCATCCTCTCCTGCCAGTTTCCACTGGCTCTGCACTATGGCTGAGATGTTGTTCTTGGCTCCTCAAGGACAGTGTGCATGTATTTTGCTTGAAACAGAAGGTGATATGCACTGCTATGATCAGGGTAAGGTAAAGCAGTTGAATGTGTCCGTGGTTGCACGCAGAAGGCAGATCAGCATGGGCATGTGTGGCTCTGTATGTGCAGGTGGGTGCCTGGATGTCCTGAACTGGGACTGTGTGTTGCATGTTGGGATCAGACTGAGTCAGTGTGTGTGTGTACAGAAGGATGACTCTGTGCACCTGTAGCAGATGACGTGTGTCAGCTCACAGATTTGGACTTGGCCAGGAGCAGAAAGAGAGACATTGTGCTCCCTGGCAGTGTGTTAGTGGTACAGGTGTCACCTTTAAAAGTGAGAAGGGGAATCTCCCACTGACTGTTGTCCTACCCTAAGGACCTTCCATTCCTTCTGGTGTAATCTCAGCAGCACTGACTTGTAGGGTAGACAGCAATTTACTGTCACACAATAGCAGTGACCCTAACAGTGAGGCATGGACACTTCTGGTGTCCTGCTACCCACATAAGCTTTCACAGAGCTGCTCTCTGTTTGCAGAGAACTCTTGACAGGATACAGGATGACTCAGGACTGAAGCTGAGAGGATGACACAGGTTTCCAGAAGGTGCCAGCTGCCTTTGCAGCAGGCGTGTGAGGGAAGCTCTGTGCAAGGGCATGAGGCACAGCAAGCACTCGAGGTCTGACTCTACTTTATTTGTCTGGGAGGGCCCAAGGGTGAAAGGGCACAAAATGGGCCTGGGGCAGAGGAACAGAAATTGAGCCAGGTGCCCTGACCCCCCAGAAGCATGTTGTACTACTTGGGTGAGTGGAGCAATAGCACAGTCTGTCTGTCTGTCTGTCTGGAAAGATGTATTTTGGGAGGACCCCATGCTTGACTGCTCTCAGGTACCTTTTTTCATTGCTGTACCTTCCTTCCTAGAAGAGTTTCATGCCACAGAAGAGATTTGTTTTTGCTCTTCATGTTCACCTTCTGTGTCACCCATGAGTGGCTGTCTCTTCTTCAGCTCCCGGTGGTACTTGGCCATAAGGGAGGCATAGATGCAACCATAAGCAGCTGCTACCACCATCATGATGCAAACAATGCCACAAACCACCCCTGCAATGATCACAGTGCCAATAGCCCGGCGCACGCTCACGGGCCTGTATCGCTGTTTCTGAGGGCATCCCACACTGGGCTCCACTTCTGTTTCTGGCCCTGATTTAGATTTGGAAGGAGCTGGACTTCCTTTAGTGCAGGGTGGGCCAGTATTGTCCAGCACTGTAGAGCTGTTCTCATCGTCCAGCTGGGAGCAGTAGTTAAACATCTCCATGGGCACCATTCGCATGTCCTTCCCTTTCAGCTCCTTGGGCAGGGTACATGCCAGCTGGTCGATTTTCCCACCTGTTCCAATAGAGATAACAGGAGTGAATCAGAGCTTCATCCCCATACAGTGAGAGCAGAGCTAAATCCTCATGTGGAGTCGGTTCATGGGCCTGCGTTCGCATTGCTAAGTGTTTTTCCTGGCTGCTATGCCTCTGCCTAGGCTGCATTCAACAGTATCATGGTGCATGATATCTGCATAGACATCTTTCAGGCCAAGACATGAAAGCCCTCTGAAACCATTTATTAAGTCAGCCTCATACTCTTTAGTGAGTTATATGTGTGTCAGGAGAACCGTTTCAGAAAAGGAGAAATTAAAGCAGAAAGATAGGACCAGGCTGTATCTTCTCAAAATAACAACAGATACATGGTCCCATCTTCTAGCAACTAATATACCTCTGGGAAAATGAGGACAGATGTTGAAACAAATGTTTGAGCGACTCTGGGCAATTTGTTTAGAATGGGGTGAAAAAAGCCAAATTAACCCTGTGTGCTTTCCATCAACTCTGATGTGGGAGTCAAGAAAGAAAACAAACCAAGAAAGAAGAGGAAAGTGGCGTTTGTATGCTTGCTTGATTCTGCTCACACAAATGCATATTTCAGACTGCAGTGTAGCCATAGGCAGAGATAATCTCCTTGCAGTGTGGCTGTGATCAGCAGGGATGTGACAGCTGACTGTTGCTATCCGCATGATTTGAGCCCCTTTCCTACTCATTGGCTCCAGCAACAGAAGGTCAGGCCTTCAATCCTTATTCCTGCAAAAAGTGCCATCTTTCTTTGAGTTTCATCTCCTAAAAGCATCTCATCCCATCAGCATTCGTGATAAGTGATATGTACCTTTCCAGCCTTTGTGTTTCAAGGAAAAGCTGAAAATACAAACTTGTCAAAACCTGCTTGGCTTGAAACGATGATTTTATAGCCAGTCTGACTTGGGGCCTGGCTTGTCAATTTGAGCTTTAGTTTGGGCTTGCCAATATTAGTTGTAGTGTTTTTCCTAAGTGGCACTGTTTCCTATGGGTTTTTTGTTGGCAGCAAACCTGATGCTTTACAGCCAAATCTGACTTTTAGTTCTCTCAGTTTAAGAAAGATAATGGGAAGGTTATTTTCAAGCATGAAAAGCATTTCTTCTCTTTAGGCAGATAGAGTGAGGTGAACTCATAATCCTAGAATTTTAATGTTACTTGAGGAAAGTTCTTTCTTCTCCCAAGAAAAAAGTAATCATTCAGATTAGAAACAAACCAAGGAAATAGGAGCTCTGGGGCTGTGGAGGACTTCTCAGCCTAGCAGTGTTGCTGTATGTTGCTGCAATGGCACTAAACTATAGCATGGTCCTCATGCTCTTTGGCTAAAGTCTGTCCTGACAGATGTGTCTGCTCATGTTGCTTCCCTGCCTGCCTTTACTTGCCTTTCTGTGGAAGACCAGCACTTGCACACTTGACTCCCGTGGCGCAAGCACCTACCTCGGTAGGAGAACCACTCCATCCAATGCTTGAAGTCTCGGAGGTTACAGTCGCATTCCCAGGGGTTATCCCCCACTTGGAGTTGCTGCAGGCTGGTTAGTGGTTCGAAGGTCACCCTGTCCAGGCTCTGCAGGCGGTTGGACCTGAGCGAGAGGGAGCGGAGAGCAGGCAGGTCGTCAAAGATGCCCGAGGGTATCTGGGCCAGGCCGTTGATGGAGAGGTCCAGCTGACGCAGCAGGGCAGTGTGTTGTAGCAGGTCCTTGTCCAAGGCTCGAATACTGTTGTTCCTCAGCTGGAGCTCTGTAAGGTTCCCCAGGTCACTGAAGATGTTCTGAGGGAGCTGGTCCAAGAAGTTGTTGGATAGATCCAGCCTCTGTAGAGCGGAGAGGTTGGAAAACACTGCTCCTGGCAGGATGCTGAGTTTGTTGTTGAGAAAGAGGAAGGTCCTGGTGTTTGTGGGGATGTCTGAGGGGATGGAAGAGAGGCCTAAGCCACTACAGTCCACTTCCAGGTTGCCACTGTTACACTTGCAGGAGGAAGGACAAGTAAAGAAGGACTCAGCAGCACATAGTGACAGCCAACAGCCAAGCACTGGTAGGTGAAAAGCAGGGAAGAAAGTACATGTATTAGAGCAGTCCTTTCCCATCCTCACCCATCGCTGCCTAGAGCACAGCTACAACTGTGTATTACTCTCACAGCAGGACTCTTCTGCAATGCCCTGCAGTGTAATATCTTTCCTCACAGCTACATCCCTTTACTGCTGCCTTTCCTCTTGGCCTGTTTTTTTTTATGAGCAAGCAAGTAAATACTCTTCCAGTTTCACAAGGAAGTTAGAGCAGTGCATCCCAGAGGAATTTGCTGACAGATACTGGAGCACTGGTCCCTGTCAAAGGAGAGGGGAGCAAAGAGTGGTGGGAGGTGTCACCTTTGATAAAGGATAACTCTCTCTTAACAGTTCAGGTAGTGAGAGGAGGGACTGGTATATATTTAAGAAGCTCTTTTTTTTTTTTTTTTTTCAGAAATAGCCATGTTAGTGAAGAGCTTTTATGAAAAATGAAACCAAAACAACCCACATCTCAGTTGTGTTCCTGCGATTTGAATCCTAGCATTTTGATAGCTCAGACTCAGGTCTGAGCTTCTAAATCAGAGTGCCATTTGCTTACCATATTCACAGTGTGTTGTGTGGGCCTTGTAATCCAGATTACATTACAAAGGGATGACCAAAAAAGCTGTTAAAAAGTAACAAGGAGTCCCTAAACCACTGGACACCTGGTACTTGCCATTGCTCTCAAAACAGTTTCTGGCTCCCATAGCAATAGCCTCAAAATTATCTCCTCTGACCAAAACAGTGGAATGAGGAAAAAATTCCAGGTTGGTAATTGAAGAAAGGGGTGTTAGGAAAATGACTGGTACACACACCCTTTCTCCTGCAGTGCCTCAAAGTTAAGGTTGGATAATCTGCAAATCAGCATTTTTTGGGCTGCTGTGGATCACCATTCCAGACATGGGTCCAGATCCTGTGAGTGGCATCAGGGCACTTGTTACCAACCCTCCCTTGGAGCCAGTGGCTTTTAAAACTCTCCTTTCTGTGACAAAGAAGCGTCAGCAACAAGAGAGCGAGCTTTGTGCCTCCTGTCATTAGGGGAGTGGGAGTTATGTTTAAGCAGACTATGTAAAACATTTGCATCCTTCAGCTTAATTCCTTTTGTGGAATTGAGATCGCACAATGGATTCCACAGTTCTTCAATGTGGGAAGCAAATTCAGCTCCCTCGCAGTTTTTGAGGTGACAAGTTTGAGCATTTAACTAAAACTGAAGCAGGTTTGTCTGTATGTCATGCCCTGTCCTCTCCCTTTCTCAATTCTCTTCAGAAAAGGCAGTCACTTGGGGTTGGTAAGGTCTTAAGGGTGAACAGTAGCTGAAGTGAATGCATTTATTGTCTCACCATTCTTTCCTGAACTGCAAATCAGGTTCTTCTGTCCTGCTTTTTTTTTTTTTTTCCAAGAACCAACAAGCATTTTGCTTCTTAACCCCAAAGGAATTGTGAAAGGACTGCCACAGGAGAGGGAGTTGGTGCAGACCTGTGCTCTGGAGAAGCTCTGCCTGGAATAGCTCTGCAGTTAGACATGCTCTTCCTCTCTTCCCTTGTGCTACTCTCTAGAGTTTAATCTGACCACAGCCCATTTCTTTTATATCAACTTGGCTTCTGCAAGCAATGTGTCTTCATGCTGAAACCCTGTCATCCTGAATAGGAAGGTTGTTGTGTTCCCAGCAATCCTTGTGAGAATTGCCAGATTTGTGGACTGGTAGCCTAAGGAGAACTACCCAGTTTTGATCCTAAGCTATATGACTTTATTAAGGACCAAGGGATAAGAGTACAGAGAGGTTCAGCTCTCCCTTATTTCATCTATCTCCAAAAATGTTTTACTATCCTGCAGTTGAGATCTCAGGTGTACATCAGGCCAGGCCATGCCAATACATGTGCTCTTTTAATTTTAGTTATGGATCCTCATGATGAAATGCAAGCGAGATCTTTACCCTGAGCACCTCTGTGCTTTCTTGTCATGCATAGACTGGGGCCCACAGCAGACTGCCATGAAAGCAGATCGTGGCCTGTGGAGTGCTGCAGTACAGGTACTAACTCGCTGGCTGATATTTAATTCTCTTCAGAATACGTCACACCGTTGTTGTAGGGAGAGAATTAAAAGAATGGGAGATAGAGTAGGGAAGGGAGAGAGCTGTGAGTCACTCAAGTGACCCTGTCTTTTCCTGGATGCTTAACAAAAGCACGGTATTAATAATAGATTGACAGCTGTGATGATGAGATAACACTTAGCTGCTTTATACACCAAGAAAGGCAAGAGCAGACCATGTGTAATGCTATACAGGTGGCATTCTGTTCAGGGCTTATCTCTCAAAATGCCTACCCGGCTCTGGCGCCGACTGGGTGGCTGTGGGGTTCCACCAGTGTGTGTGCTGGCAGCAGCTGGTAGGAACAAAGTCTCAGGCAGCTGGCTGTGGTTATGTTCAGGAAATGGACTCATGCCAAGTTTCTGCAGCCATGTAGGATATGCCAAAAATGTCTTGTTGTTACCCATATATTGCTGTATGCTTTTGGAAATATTTTACTAAAATCCTAGAGAGGAGAAAGTCTGATTTCATTTTCATTTCCCTGCAAGAAGTGCATCCACTAGGATGTGAGCTGAGACGAGGGAATTCATTGCACCGGTTAGGATGCAGTTCTATGGGGGAGAGAGGCAGGGAAGCCATAGGCAGAACTTGAAGCTGTCTTCCAGCCTTACAGAAGGATAAGTAACATGTGTTTTTGTGTTAGGGGAAGATGAAGTTACTTTGTGGGGTGTTTGGTGACTCTAGTAGGTGGCAGAAAGCTGATCCAGGTATATCAGATTAAGTCAAGACTCGGTGGCATTCATTACAAATAATTTATACAGCAGTCTAGTCTGTGAGAATAGATTACAAAGATGCCTGGTTTGGGGAGAAGGAAATAATTCCCCCAGATTCTTAGAGTGGTAGCCCCAAATTTGATCAGGAGGACTGTAACAAGGCAAACCACAGACCTACTCGGTGCCTGGGCATGCACTAGTGATGGACACTTTTCAAGTGTTCCCTTTCCTCTGCTGCGGTCCCCAGATGCTCCTCTGAGATGCAGGTACATTCCCAGGAGCCCCACATCATCCTAGCAGTCTCTGCTCTGCATGCAGGGGTGTTGTAGCAGCTGCCCCAGTCCACTGGCAATAGGCACAGGCTGAACGTTTACAATTTAATTTGAAAGAGATCTTCTTTATTTACTCCTTGATTTTCACTACATGTGGCAGTGCCCACTAGGAGAATTCTGCCTTCACATCCTGCATTCCCTTCTAAAATCTGTTATGACTTTTGCTGTGAAGAGCTGGGAGCCTTGCTCAGCAGCCTGTGTACAAACCCCTACCACAGACAGGAGTCTGCAGCTTATAGGATGCTGATTTGGGAAACGTTCAGGGTGGATCTTTGTGTGATGGTATCTGTCTTGCTGTTTCTCACCTGCCAGGCCCACTGGAATTCAGAAGCAATCATCACTCACTGTCCCACTTTAAGCCCATATTCAACTTTAGAATCTCACTCTCCCTCCTAGCTAACCTGGCCTCTAAAGGAATGAGGAATTAGTTCAAACATCTCCATTCTTAGCTGTCCCTCTCCCCTATTCTTAACCCTGATGTGACCTATTTTCTTTCCTCTCCCTTGGCAAACAGGAATATCATACTTAGTACCTGAGTAGGCATTACTTACGACAAGCCTCTTGCCACCTCATGAGGAACCTGCTTCTCCACTGGTGGCCAGCAGTTGTAGGCAGCATCGTTGTCTTCTCCAGCGTGTCTTCACATCCAACAGCCAGCCTGGCACACAGCCCCAGAGGGAGAAGGAATGACCTTGCAGCCTGCCTGTCAGGTCCTGCAGTGGGAAAGCAGAGCAGAGCAGATGAGATTCATTTCCCTGGGTGGAGGATGTGAGGCTAGACTCCGTATCGTCCTTTCCCCTCCCCAACTAGTGTGTTGCCTTCGAGGCATCAGCTCTGTTTGGGAGAAGAAATGGAGGCTGTTTCACAAGGCACAGCATGTTGAAGATGCAACGTTAATTCACTTTGAACCTCACAGTGCAGAAATAAGGCCTGATTCACCTAAGTGCCTAAGAGAGAAGTTGGTGCTTGCATAGCCTGCTGTGGTAGCTGTATTAGCCTCATGCTCAAGGTTAACCTGATGAATTGCTAAGGTGACCCTGCCAGGGCAGCAGACTTCAGCTCATTCCCGTCGCCTCCACGCAGGCCGATACCACCTGTGCATCCCTGACAGCTCAGGCTCACTGAGATCTGGGCACCAGGGCTGCCAAGCTGCTTCTCTCCCCTCCCCCTGCCCTCCCCTTCCCCGTATTCCCTACCAGCACTTCCTGTCTGTTTTAAGGTAAAATGGATGTGGTGGCTAGAGCAGCACAGCTTCAGTTTAGGGATTTCCCACTGCAGCAACTGCAGGAGCTGAAGAACTAGCGAGCCTCGAGGAGAAGGGAGGACCTGGGGCGGGGGAGACTGAGTGGGAGTGTTGAAAAGAGAGGAATTGCATCTTAATTAGAAGAAGGAAAAATCCTCAGTCTAATTAGAAACCCAAAGACCATAAACTCTCCCCTGACAATAAGCGACTGACAACAGGTTTCAACTTCCCTCCTGCTTCCTTTTAGATACAAGGAGGCAGGAAAAAGGAAAACACCACGGACCCTTCTGTCCCCCTGCGTACTCTCTGACGTGCCACCCACAGTGGCAGCAGCAGTTAGATAGATGCATTTCAACCAGAGTACAGAAATAAACCCTTCTCCATCCCCTCCGAGGGGCTTTGACTACATCCACAACCCTTATTTCAGATGGACGCTACGCTCCCACCAGGACACTCTCCCCACACACGTGCCAGTTGCTTACCCTCCCCCAGGCTCCCATGGCTGATTTATTTCATTTGGGAACGTAAACCGCCAGGAAATATTTAAATTAGCATCTTGATGGGAAAGATGAGCAGGTTCAGTGCTGGACTAGTACATTTGCAAGGCTATTTGGGTCGTTTACCTAAATGTCAATGCACCAAATAGATGAATACCTCTCACAGTACTGAAACTGATTCCTCCAGTGCAGCCCCCACTCCCCCC